CTCTTATCCGCAAATGCCGTATATGTGTTTTCTTTTAGTTTCGCCGCGCTAGTCCAGGATTGCGGGGGGGGCGTTTGTTGGGTCTCTTGGGACCGTCTTGTGGGCATGGTGGGCCGGCATGGGTCCCCCCTCTGGGCTGTCCGGGGGTCGTTTTGGGGCCGTCTCTGGATCGTTTTGTTGCTTTTCGGGGCACATTGTGGGCCATCTTTTGGATGATATTGGCGCCCATTTGGGCCATCAGTGAATTTCGGACAGCCGAGGAAACAAGTACGCCAGAATCCAGCAAACCGCCGGAAAATCAAAATTTGCTCGTTTGTTTTGAGGGGGGGCCTCTTGCGGCTCCTCTTCGGGTCCATTTTGAGTTATTCGGGGCCGTCTTGGGCGTGTTTCTGGCGCCTAGTGGGGCCTTGTTGGGCTCTCTTGCGCAGCATTGGGCTCTCTTGTTGCGCCCGAGATTCGACCAGGGCTGGCGGCAATTATGTTGCAGCTGGCCATCTTTAGCGGAGAGCTGAGTCTATTTGTTCATAGTGGCCTAGATTCCCTGACAGTCCGAGCACTCGTCCAATATTGCGATTGGGCCCTTGTCGGGTGTCTTGGGGCCGTCTTATGGGTATGGTGGGTTGTCTTGGGGCCCTGTTGGGCACTCCTGCCCCCCTCAGGGCTGGCCGTCTTGTGCTGACGTGGGCCTCTCTTGGGCCACCGTGGATTCATGCGGAACCCATCTTGGATGCTTTTGAGGCAATATTTGGAGCGGTGGTGGGACAGTGTCTGGCCGTCTTTGATATTCGGAAAAGCGAGAAAGCGAGTAAGCCAGAGTCGAACAAACTTGAGAGACATCTACGTGTGTTTGCTTCTTGTGGCCCCTCTTCCAGGGCGCACTGGGGTCTTGTGAGGCTGTCCTGGGCCGTCTCCAGGATGAGCCAGCGTCGTCGCCAGGCGCCCGCGACGATCCAGACAGCTTACAACGGGTGCCAAAAGGCTCCCAAGACGGGGACCCTTGAGAGGCCCCCGGGAGCATGACATTCGATCGCCTGCATTGGTTAAATATTATTAGTTCATGTTCGTACACTCGCATTTTCGTTCGTCTGAGCATTCAGGACAGCCACGGAGGCCTCCAGGATCGCCCCAATGGGCGAGTTCTCTAGCATGCAATTCGGCATTTGGCCAAGGGCGCCCAGAAGCATAGACAGCCCACAGAGCCTATAGAGCCTAAGAGGGCTCCACAACGAACCCAAGAGGCACACAGAGCTTATCAGTGGCCAGTTTGGCTCATTGCCTAGCGCCCCTGCTGACTCACACTTTGAACAGTGGGCGGGTGGGCGGCTGTTTTTTGTAAGCGACCTCTCAGTCAATACCCGTTGCCGCGATGTACTGAACGACTTGCAGTGCGTTGCATACGCTAGGGCCGTCGAATTCGTGCAAACCTCGCGGCTCCATGTGGTACGGCCTGCATCGCAATCATGGTAAATTGCCCAAGGTGGTCGATTTCTGTGCTGCATTCCAGATGTTACCAGCACGTTTGCATGTTGGCCAGAATCTCCACCAATTTAGATTGCGCGTCCGTCATTTAATTTTACACGCGTCCGATTTCCCAAGCGTTCTTCAGGGAAGTGTTGCTACCACGCCCGACATCTTCAACGGGGTCCCATTGTCTACATTACCCCCCGTTGTTCGGGGCGATGTTCTCGAAGATGTGGCTCAACGAGTCGACATTGAATTGAACAAAGAGTCGAAATTTGAGAAGGCTTGTTTGGGTGATCACTCTCATGGTCGCAGACGAAGACGTAGACGACCGGAGTACGATTGGCTTCGGGATGGATTGCGTATCGAGTGCAAGAGCTCGAAGATGTCATGGGATTCTTCAGGAAAGAGATGGTTTTTCAAATTTTCGAATGTAAAGACTGCTTATGGTGGCCTTCGGAGGGAAGCTGCGTATGATGAGTTACTTCTAGTACTGTACACTCCGACGCATCTCTATTTCTACAAGCATGACGGCGCATTCGGTTTGTCTTCTGCGGGCAAGCGCACCACCACAGCTGGCCACCAGCTCCGCATACAGGGCAGGTCCCATAACGCAGAATGGAGGCTTGCTCTTGAAACCATGTTGGGAAAGCTCGACGACAGCAGAAACTGTTGTTCACGCCTGTCAATGATGCCATTATCAGACAGCCGAATCCAACTTGCTCTAAACCTTCGGTGCGACGTTACCCAGGGGATCTTTCATGATTGTCCGTTGTCTGAGGTCACTCCTGCCGCGAGAGGAAAGCGACTTGAATTGCTTGCACGCGCTGTAGACCGAATAGTTAACCCTCGTGCTAAGATCAAGCTGCCCAGTCCTGGACAACAGCGGTCTTGGAGGTGCGGTTGGCATCGAGATGGGATTCGCGTCGAGTGCAAGAGCTCCCAGCTTCAGTGGGACAAGCGTTTGAGCCGTTGGCGCTTCGCTTTTCAGAACATTAAAACTCAGAGCCCGTCTGGGTTCGACGAACTTCTGCTAGCA